TCCTCTGCTCAGGATCGCACTCAGGGGTCGGCTGGGCTGCGTCCTCGTGTGCAGGCATCCACTTCCAGGCGCCTTCGGCTGTAGGACGGAGTTGTCTTCTTACATTGGGATTAAGGTCCCAGTGTTCCTGCTGGCCGCCCCCGGCCCTGGCCGCAGCCTGTGTGCTGCTCCCCGCCCTCGCCCGATTAGGTCAGGCCCACTGAGAGTAATCTCTTTCAATTGACTAAAAGTCCACTGATTTGGGGACATTAACTGCATCTGGAAAAACATTTCGCTTTTACCCGATGAGACATTCCCACACACACACTCAAGGGGGTTACACAGGGTGTGTACTTGGGGGTCAGATTCTTGGGGCCAAATCAGAATTCTGGCCATTTTGGGGGGGCCTAGGGCAGAGTTTAGGGTTCTGAAGGGAGAGGTTGGGGCCAAACCATGAGTTAACCTGCCTCCGGTTCCCTTCCAGGAAAGGAGAGGTAACCTGTCCGGCAACAGGACTCGGGGCTGATAAAACGAGGAGTCTGACAATTCTTCACCCTCAAAGTCTCAAACTGGTGGCAGGGGGCTGAGTTCAGAACACAGGCTTCTCTTGGCCGTCAATGTTGAAAATTTTGTTTTCTCATTTAAAGAGTTTGCCAACATTTAAAAATCAGGAAATTTGTACAAAAATCTGAATTTCTGACTTCTCTTGAGCATGCTGGGCTGGGCTGTGGATGGCAGCCACAGGCACATCCTTCAGGGAGAACCCCTCCCACCGCGTTTCGCCGCATTCCCCTTCCACAAGAAAAGTGAGGAAACTACAACTGGATGAAAATTAGTGACCGTCTTGCCAAGAGAAGTTTTTGTAAAAATAAATCCTCCTTTACATCTTTTTAATATCCTCGTTCCTGCCACTCCTGCTCCGTGCATCTGCCTCTCATTCTGCATGGGGCCTTGCCTGGACCTGGCCACAAATTTCCAGGCAGCGCCTTCCAGAGGGACCAAATTTCCGGGTGAAAACAGGGCCTGAGCTCTGAGGGTTTGCAGGGCTCCTGTCCCCCACGATCAGAGGCGGCTACTGTTCTGGGTTAAATAATGCCCCCCAAAAAACTCACATCTACCCGGAAGCTCAGACTGTGACCTCACCTGTAAGTCGAGTCTCTGCAGGTGCAAATCGTTATGCCAGACTCAGTCACCCTGAGTGCGCAGCTGCGGCGGGTTCCACGGCTCCGGGCTCACCTGTGACAGGGTGAACCCGCGGGGGCTCGTCGGGCAGGAGGCGTGAGCCCCGTGGAAGAGATTGTCAACGTTCATAAAATGATCTAAGCGACAAGAAAGCATTGCATCTCAAGGGCTTAAGATGTCGGTGGTCTTATAATCGAGGCTATCTTGGCTGTGGTGAAGTTCATGGGGCCACGAGATATTAGAGCGGTTCAATAACCTCACAGGGTCAATGCTGGTCAG